AGGTGTGTGCCACCTTCCCTGGTTTGGCAGGGTTTTAATGGTGGAGGACCAACATAACTATTTCTTTTGCTGCTCTTCATCATTGGTTTAACCACCTGAGGTGGAAGATGCTCTTAAAGCAACTGCTCACAAGGTCCAGGGAGGTTAATCGAATGATGATGGCCAGACATTAAGGTGACAGGGAGATATGGAGTCAGCAGTCCATACCAATTGTCAGGGGACAACTGCTGCTCCTTTCCAGCTTGTTACTGCCATGGAAAACTGTGAACCTGCTCTCCTAACATCACCCATATTTTTTAAAGGAGCTGAAAATTTGCATCTGAATGTAAAAGTTTTCATTTTCAAATGTTGATAGACTAGTAGAATTTTTAAAAGAATTATGGACTGAATAGATCTGTGGAGTGAACAGGTTTTGAGGTCATCAGTTTGTGACCGTCTGGTGTATTCTCATACAGGGTATTAAGAGTTCCAGTGTGTAGAATTTGATGAAGACTGGGTCGTACATCAAGGGGTACATTCTTTTGTGCTGGAATTGTCCTTCCATGTACTCTTGGAAGGGATTGTTCCTAGTGACTTAGGGAAAACTTAATGTCACGTCTTCTATGGAAAGAAAACAAACAAACCTGGTAGTAAGAGTGGAGCAAGCGATATGGAGCCATCCAAGGAGAACGCTGGACCAAAGAACCTGTTTGGACATGCCAGAACTCTCTCAGAGTAGAAGCACCTGTATCGATCATACAGATTCCGTGGATTCTCCATCTTCCCATGTTACATCCTTCTTCCTGAACAATAAATGGTAAGAGGGAGAAGTTGCCACAAATGCAGTTGATATGCTGGAGAAAATAGAATTCTGCTTACAGTTTAGCAGCAGTCATAAAGCAGATGAAGTTTGAATACACAGGTAGAACACTGATGAGTCAAGCAGGCAAAGGTACTTCTCTTTAGTTTGCTGCTTGTGTAGAAATGACTACTGATATTTACTACTGTGAAAATGAAGACAGAAGGTATTCGTGTAGTACTGATGTGATCTGTCCAGGGAAACTAGTAATCTACTATTATTGGATGTAGATATTTTCATAGAAACGCTCAGTACTACTGCATATGTCAAAAACCATACTTTATATATAGCAATGCAATTTACATATTAACACTATAATATGATTTTATATAATTTTAAACAGAAGAAAAGAGAAATTTCAGGTTATAAAACCCCTCCCATTCCAAACAAATTTTTAAAAATCACTTTTTCCAAAAGGTTGATGTGATAGATGTATTCAGTGACTAATTATGTCTTATTCCTATTGTACAAATGGTCAATTGAATTAAAAGAAACCCCCAACTTTCACATAGAAGTAACACACAAAGAAGTAACACACGTTGGGATCTTTTGGAATACAAACATGGTTTTTGCTACTTCAATACGCAGAAAGTTGAATTCACATATCCAACACAAAAAAGCAAAACCAAACCAACCAAACAAAAAATAAGAAAACTGACAGAATTGAAACTAGAAAATCTTAGCTCCATATGAAAATATAAATTCTTTGATTATACACCATAGATAGTTCCCAGAAGATGCTTACCCAAGCAGCAAAATACTTAGTTTTAATGATTTTAGGTATTTCAAAATGAAGTAAGAAACATGAGTCAACATGAAGGCTGAATTCTTTAGAAACAAAGGTTGCTTGCTAGTTTCAAATGTCCTAACAAAAAAAGGAGTCATTACCCGAAATATTGGTGAATTTTGATATTTTATAAACTTGACTATCTCCTTTCTTGGAGATATTTATTTCTTAAAATGTAAAATATTTTTCTTAAAATTAATTATCCTCTGTAGAAAGTGCGTCACTTTGCAAATATTTAACATAAATATTAAACACAGTTTAATGGTGAAGACAAAGGAGAAATATTGTCTGCATTCTTCCCTTTTTTTTAGCATGCCTTCTTTCTAGAGATAAGTAAAGCTGATATGTTGAATGAGGGAAAGTGCAAAGGAGTAAGTGAAATTATACCTGTTACAGAAAAAAAAGCATTTTTTTTTCTTCATAAATTCTCTGGCACCAATTGAATAGAGATTTTAAAACTGAAAATGCATTTTCTACTGTGACCACTAAATTCTTAAGACAACTATATTTTGATTATTTTCTCTTAAAGTATGATGAATTTGGATTTATGTGTGTGCTTAAAATTAGTAATATGTGGCTTTAGTAAATTGGTATCTATATTGTAATTTTAAATGTATATATGCATTTAAGAAAAGTCTGGGCTCAGGATTTAGTTCAGTGGTTCCACTACCTGCCTTGAAAGCACAAGGACCTGAGTTCAATCCCCGGTACTAAAACAAACAAAAAAAAAGCAAATAAAAATAAAAGTCATTATCAAGGCAGTTGTGCTGTGTCATTATAAAATAATTAAGGTTACCGATTGATTTCAGGGTCACTGTGGTTAAAAACTCCAACAGCCATACCTTGAACACCATAATCCTTCTTTGGCCTTAATGGAAATTTCTACTTGAAATGGACTTTAAAAGCTCCAACGTCTAAAAACTAGGAAAATCAAGTAATCTTGAGAAGTGAACTGTTTAACTACAAAAGATGGTATCATGGTGAAGGGGTGCAAGAACTCTCATAGCAACAAGATGTCCCTGATGTCCAGCATGACCATCTGTCCTGATCATAGCAGTTCACATCTGTATTGCTGTGTATATCCTGCTTACCTAGTGCTACATCATACACCCAGCTGCTTATCCTATAAAACAGCACACGTGAACTGGACACTTTCTTTCCTCTTGAGTGCAACGGGTAATGACCTTGTTATATATTTGAGCAATGTGCTTATGTCTCAAAGAAAATAGGAACTCTATACCTCTAAGTTGAAAGCATTTTTTCCAGTAACAAATGAAAACTAATAAGAGGAAACACTCTGTGGTGAAAGCAAGGAACTACTGAAATGTGTTGACGACTTTGGCAAGATGGGCAGGTGCTTTTTGTTCAGTGGGTTAGGATCTGCAGATTTTGGGTTAACTCCATTGTATACATATAGACTGCTAACACAAATTCTAAACCACCTTTATTATGTTTTATCCTGTTTACTGCCTTTCTTTCATCATGATTCTCACACTCATGTAAGAGACAGACACAGAGTCATAGGGTATGCATTTCTATGAATTGATCCCTCTATAAACTACATAGGAGGGAATACTTTAACTGTGAGCTTCAACTCAAATTTTACTTCTGAATGTCAAAGACACTGCCACCTAGGAAAATCATTAGTTCATATTAATAAAGTGTACATCAAGTACACAACTAAAATAATAGACATCATGGAATACTTATCCCTTGTCTTTCCCTTCCTGATGCCCCTCAGCCTTCCAGCACCTGCAGTGCTCGTGCGACCAAGCTTTCCTTGTGCTGGGTAGTGCACCAATTCTGATGGGAGCTGTTGGGCTGTAAAGGTGTCTGTGTCAACTAGCATGTGTAGCTTGGCAAACCCGCTCAGTTGAATGAGTCTTTTCTTGACTAGCCTATGGTAGTTCTTGAAAAGCAGACTGTTCCATGTTCTTGAATGGATAAGAGTAACCCTGGTAAATTATGTAGTTCATGAAAACTCGGTTGACCTCATCATTGCATCGAAATCCTTGGACTTGGCCTGTGGTCTTTCTTCTTAGTAACTCAGGGCCCCTTAATCGCATGAACAAACTTCATGGAAGCCCATCAACACAAACAGAACCTCCATGCTCATCATCATTCATGGGTTCATGTCTACCCAGAAAGTATGACAGCCACTGTGGCCTTTTTGTTGAAGTTTCTTGGGCATAAACGCAAGCCAAACCCTGTTTCTCTTAATAAGCATCTTCTGGTGATGCCACAGGCTTACCTATAAAAGCAAACATGCAGGCAAAGTAACATCTCAGTAAGTAGTTTATACTGTTAACAAACTCTACTGAGTCCTATCTCCTGACTGTCCCATTCTATAATGAAGGGTGAATGCAGCTCCAGAGGTTGGACCAAGAAACTTCCTTAGGCTCGCTGATGATTACTGGCATCTTTTACCTCGGTTTTCTGTCCTTGACGCTTAACTACAAAAAGCATTCAGAGCTGTTTCCTTTGAAAAACTACTTGAAATTGCAGGTATCACCTTATTCCATTTTCCAAATTCCCAGTTCTGTCATTGCCAGTAACAATTACTCACATGGGAGTTTCAAGAGTCCCAAGACTTTTCCTAAAACTTCATTTTCTGTTTAAGTAAAAGAATGTATGCAATTAAAGAGATTTATTAGGAAATATTTGGCAGAAAAGAATATTAAATATATAGGTTGTTTTTATTAGACTGCTGTATAAGTAGAGGGGAACTTTTAGAGGGCTAGTTCCAAGATTATATACTGCAAAAATCTTCGTCCTCCTACCTTCATTCTCCGTGAGTTTGGTAATTATAAACCAAGAAGCAGTAGTGGGGATTAACTAATGGGTCTCAAAACTGAATTATGTAAAATATTGCCATCTCTTTACTATAAATGATAGCCCTGGTTTTAGGGATAGCTATTTCAGAGTCAAATGCAAATAACACACACTGTCCACATAGCTACTGTGAAAGCTGTAATACAGAGTTATCCTTTATTTTGACACATTTTAAAAAGCTGTGAATATAACTTTGTAACTAAGAAGAGACGTTTACATGAAGCAACTCAAGCCTTCTAATTTCCTAAGGGGTCTCTTAACCATCCTAAATGGAACTGCTTCAAGGCCATGATGTTGATAGACCTTCTCAGTTGCTCCCAATGGCCTACTATTCTGTAAAAGAAAACAATGCTCATCCACTCCATTAAAATACAGAAGGCATACAGTATTGAACAGTGCCTAAAAAAATAGGAGGGGAGGACTGAGGAAAAGTACAGCACTGACTGGTAGTAGAATGCAACTGCTTTAGCAATAGTAATAAAGTCAAGTTTCACCTTCATAACAAAGACCTTCACTGTACTGAAAACTAAAAGGTAGCATGAATGTTGTCATGGAATGTCACATCAGGGTTTGCTTTAGTAATCAGATTATAGGCAGTAACACTGATCATATAGTGCAAACTAGGTAAAATTGTGTTTCACCGTGTGAAATGAACAGAGGTGCAAATGCTCGGTAGGATACCATTAAGACATAAAATGACAAAAAATAAATATCAAAAATTTTATCAGTGTAAAAAAGTAACTGGGTTATTGTATAACCTGGAGTCTGGCAAAAAAGGCCTCAAAACAGTTCTTAGTCTTCAGAAGTCTACAAACGAAGTGCCCTTCAGAATTCCAGTCACACTAGAGACTCCATGCTCTCGGCAGGGTCTGATTCATCTGCGATTAGAACAGCACCATTTTTGTCCACTGCCATGGGACCATTTCCATTTTCTTTAGTGCTGACCAAGCTGAGCATCGCTTTATAGACAAACTGGTATTGTTCCTGAAAAAGAAGAGGAAGATAGTTTGAGCCACACAACAGCCTAGGGGTTTTATCGTACCAGTGAATAATGGAATTGTGAAAAAAAATTACTAGAAAGACAGGAAGAGCAAAAAATGTTATCTAAGAAACTAAAGAAAAATCACTTAATCTTCTATAATTATTCTGTAATTATGATCTACACCTTCTTTGTATCCATTTGATCTCTGTTAACATGGAAACAACTCTCCTTGTTGATAGTCCACTAAGATAATGGAGTATCTACATGTTAAAAACACAGAACTCCAGACTCTAAAGCAGAATTTTTCAGTTGACATTTCAGGCCAGATAATTCTGTGTTGTGAAGAGCTGTCTCGTGTACAGTAGGATATTTAGCAACATCCTGGCCTCTACTCACTGCATGGTAGAATAACCTCTTGCTATCAGTAGACGTGACACAGAGTCCAGACATCGCCACGTGTCTCCCGGGGGACAAATCCCTCTTGGTTGAGAAGCCCTGTGTGACAGTGTATGAAAACCCAGGTTTTAAATAGAAGCAAACTGCTTACAATGTCTGTGAAGACTCCAGGTCTCATAAGATTGATCATCTTTGCAACCTGGAAAACATCCACCGCGTTTTCATTCTCCAGTTGCTGGGACAGGGTGGTAAGAGCACATAACATTCCTGCTGAAACCGCTCCATACCTGATGGAGGAAAATGAAAAGATGCTGTTTCGGATTTTCTAAGGGACTGAGTACACTAGAATGAAATTAGTTAGAAAATGAGTAGAGTGTATTCACCTCTGTTCTAGGAGACAAAAGTGAATGAGATGCTGGGCAGGAGGGATCTGGAAGCTTGCCTAGAGGTAACATTTACGTATGAGTGCGAAATCTTCCAAAGGCTTCATCAGATGCATAGGCTGAACTCTAATATGAAATGGGAGGTTCAGAAGGAGCCTTGGGATAGCAGTGTATCTGGTGTTGGGATGAGCTGGGAGGTACAGCAGGAAAAGGGGACAACTTTAACTGTGGGCTGTTGAATAAGTAGCAAGTGTTGGAAGGCTCTGAAAAAAATTGAAAACTATCTCAAAGAGTTAACCTGAACTTCCAGATAGGAAGAATAAAAAATGGAAATGAGGGGTCATGCACTACATAATATTTTGGTTAACCATAGACAGTATTTATGATTATCCCAGAAAGTCATAATGAGCTGAAAGTTCCTATTGCCCAGAGGTATCTTAACTGTAGAAACATGTTAGTGCAGCTCAGCACGCGTGCGTCTGTGGTGGTGGCGGTGGTGCTGGTGCTGGTATAAACGATCTCTCTGTGCCGCTAATCATGTAAAAGAATATATAGCACATGGGGCTATGTATAGTGTGTAATACTGGGATCTGTCCTGTAGGTTTGTGTAAGTACACTCTGTGATGTATGTCCAACAACATAATCACCTACTGTTGTGCATGTCTCAGAAATTATGCTGTTTCATTGAGTGGCAAGTGACTCGGTGAGGCTCCAAATGAAGCCACAGCTTTTTCATGTGCTTTTAGATATTCTAAGTTTCCTAATATTGAATTATTTATCTGGATCTTACTGTTTTGCCGTAAGGGAGATAACCGGTTGTTCCAGGATGTGCTATTGAATATTCATCTGATCACTGCTCATTGACATAAACTGCCCATTTATTATATACTGGATTTTCATAATGCAGGCCTACTTTTGAATGCTCTATTTGGGCCCTTTAATCTGTTTATCTATTTTTTGTACCTTTCCATGTCCAGTTCCTATAGGCTTTTAGTAAGTCTCGAGAAAGCAAATTTCTGTAATAGTTTTGGCTGGCTCTACATTTTTCTCTTTTAATGTCTTTCTCCGTTTAATGATGGATATGAGGAAATTCACATGTTTTCAGTTTTTCATCTTAATGTCTTTCTCCATTTATTCAGGTCAGGTTTAGAACTTTTTCCCATAGTCTTTGCCACTTTCATTTCAAGTATTTCAAGTTCATTGCTAGGTACTCTACTTTCACACGGTGAACTTGAATCCAGTCACAGAGGAGAACTCTGTTTGACTTGTGACAATTTTGGAGTTCAGTGTGTACTTGGCTACATCTTTATCTGCCAGTAAGGGCAGTTTTGCCTGTTCACTACTTGCTGTTCTGCGCTTTGCCTTTACCGCCTTGGCTAGAATCTAAATACTTTTTATGTATTGGCAGTGAGAGAGCAGGTATTGTATCTTTCATGGTCAAGTTGCTGAATTTTCAGTATGAATAAAATTATGAGCTATAGGCAAAATGATAGTTACCAGGTTAAAGAGGATGCTTTGTATTTTTAGTTCACTGAGTATTTCAGTGGGGTAGTGGACATGTGTTATTATATACTTTCTACTCTGTATTGATTGTTTTAGAAATGTCTTTAATAATGTCCTAAATCCACTGATAGGTTTTTGGTTCTGTTAACCAGTGTACATCACCAGGATAAACTGTTTTCCTAACGTTTAATGCTCCTAATATGTTGGGTTTTAGTATAGTAGATTTTCTTAGATAGTACATTTTTATGTTTCTAACTATATCCACAAAATAAGATTGGCCTATACTTTTCTCTAGAGCTAGCCATGTCTGTCTAAATCAGATTTGTGGTAAGTGCTTCTCTCTATATTATTTTTGAGATGGAGTCTTGGTAAGTGTGTCGTGGGCCTTAAGATTTGGAAGACTCTTTGTCGTCTTCAGTTTATAGTAATCACTACTACGCATTTTTCTCATAGTGATGTTTCAGGCTTTCTGCTAGATTTGTAACATGCGCCGGCTTAATCCTCCCCATAACCCCAATAGTACAGTAGCAGTGTCTCTTTGTGACGCTGAAGAAGCACTACACTGAGGTGAAGAAACAGGCCAAAGTCTCATAATGAGACTGAAGCTTAACTTCCAGCTAATACTTGTAGTTGGGTCAGAACAGAGGCTGGCACATGCCATGTGTTCAATACATGTTTTACTGTGCCTATAATCTAGGCTTAAAAATTTGTTAGCACAGAGATTTCAATGCACGTTTGAAGTGCTTATGAGATTTAAATGCTTATTTTAGTTCTTCTGAAATATTTTTTTAGGTTTTTATTACGTAAAATGTTAAACATAGGCAGAAGTACGATAGTATAATGCCCTCCACGCAGCCATCATTCATTTGGCATGAGCATGGGTTTATGGACACTCCTGTTCATATCATGCATGTGGAGGGAAACCCCAGATATTTTATTCATAGTTATTTTAGTTTCTCTCTCTAAAAGATGGGGACCTTAAAAATAAACTTAGCCAAGCATGTTTGCGTACACCTGCAGTCCCAGGACTCTGGGAGGCTAAGGTAAGTGGATCACAAGTTTGAGCCCTGGGTAACTTAGTGACTTAGGGAGATCTTGTTTCAACAAACAAGGGGGTGTAGCTGAAATGGGAGGTGCCTGGGTTCACTTCTCAATTATTTTAACTTTAACTACAGATACATGTTTTCCTTCTTAAGCCTTTTTCTAGTAGTTTTCATCATACTGCACAAAGTTGTACCCTGTTTTTAGATTTTTTTGCTTAGTATTTCCTCCTTACTCCCGTTTCACTTCTGTTTGCATCTCTTTATAATTTCCTTGTATATTCTGTGGACTTCCTTGTATCTTTTTCTGGCTTCTTGAGTCGAAAGTTTAGTGTGCTTTTCATCTTCAGTGTGTGCCGTTGGGGCTATACATTTTTGGTGAGTATAATGTGGTTCCATCCCGACGTGTTGGAAATGTAGTGCCCTCATCATGAATGTATATAAAAGTCTTACAATATTTAGCAATTTGTATTTTGGTTAACTTTTTAATTTATAAACAGTTCTAGATGAAAAGAGTTAAGTTTCTTAGCATGAGGATTGTTTGTAATATCAATGCATTGTGAACAGTGAGTGTGACCTTGTTTGTACAGCACCTGTTTTCAAGGAATGTACTGAAATTCCATTTTTGATCACATTACGTGAACAAATCATTCGTGTTGAAAAGAGACCACAGGACCCTCCCTACAGATTCGCTTTGGTGCAGACTATTGTATATGGCTAGTAGAACAAACTATTCTGTATTACTATTAGAATTAAATCTCTTTGAATGTTACTTTTCTAAAACTGTTCTGACCGGTTTTAGAGCTCAACTCTTCATTCAATTCTTAGAAAACCTCAGGTCTTACTTCTTCCTCTTTGACCTTTTACGTGACGATCACCATATATATATATATATATTTGGGAAGTTTTGTATCGTTACCCTTTAATATCTTACTTAATCTCTGCATATAGTACTACTAGCCCAATCTTACGTATTTAATTTTCCTACGTTACAAGAGATAGGATCAAGTTAAGAAAAATTTATTACAGTAAAAGACAGTTGGCATCAGTCCCCTTCAGACTTCTCCCTGTTGCTTTGAACACACTCCATTATTACTATTTTTGAGCAGTTCCATAAGTCTTCAGTTGTACTGTCATGCCTGCCCCCGTGTCCTGAGTCAGTTCAAAACATTTGTCTTTCATAGTGATTTTGGCTTTGGGGAAGAGGCAGCACCTGCATGGTGCCAGATCCAGTGAATAAGGTGGATGAGGACACACTATCAAGTTTTTATGGGACAGAAATTGTCAATAGTTTTATTCGATTCGGGACATCACAGCAACCACAAGAGGCACAACTAAAGACACCCATGAAAGAGGACTCACAGAACTGCTTCGGGAAGTGGCAGGGATGACAGGTGCAGTGTTTTTAGTGAGGGGAAATATTTTGAAAGGGAATAATGGCAATGTAGATGTAACTGTAATAAGTTAAAAACCTAAAGATTCAGTGTATTTGTTGGTCCTACTGTGTGGGGGTATAATTTTCCATGGTTATGATTTCATAAAACTCTTTCAGATCTCTGAATATATTTTAATATCCTGGTATGGCTCTCACATGCTGATTGTGGTGTTTTCTTTGTTTTGGGATTTTTGTTTCTGTTTTATTTCACTGTGTTGCCTCTCCTTAGATACTAAAATGTACTTATCCTAGCACTCACGAGCCTGAGACAGGAGGATCACTGAGAGTCTGGGGCCTGCCCAAGCTACACAGTTCAAGGTCATGGCATTTAAAAAGATTTCATTTGTACTGATTTTGTTCACGAGGGGAAGAATTTAAACTTAACTGGTTTAGTAAAATAGACTCAGGATTCTTCCTTTTTATTTCTTAGCTTTTAACAAAAGCTACTAATAGCCAGTGAGAAAGAAAAGTCAGGTAACTTGTATCTTTGATATGGAGTGTGCTTTTCACGTGGGATTACTTTCATTTTCTGTAGGTTGGCTTTCCTATGCTTAGCCATTCTCCCAAAGTATAGTATCATGATTCGTACCGCTTCAGTGTGTGGTGAACATCATGCATGACTGTTGCCATAACATACCCCAGGTGTGGAGGAGGCCATGCTGTTAGGTTTATGTACACTTTTGATGTTTACGTGATGAGAGTCGTCTAATGACTCATTTCTGAGACCATATCTCCAAGTCTTAACTATGCGTAGCTGCACTTGAATTAAGAAAAAGCACCACACAGTTTGGCCTTAAAGATGAATAGAAACTACCATCTACATAGCTATCCAAAATAAAAGAAGATAGGCTGAAAAAGCAAAGGCCATTCTCTTTCCGAAGTTTAGGAAGTAAAAGAGTGAAGAATATTGTTGAATTTCACGGACTTGCACTTAAAACCATCGGGACTTGGTGCAGAGGAGATGCAAGCACTTCCTAAACTACATAAAAGAAGAGCTGTATACACATCCAATGAGTCTAGTAGTTCGTTTGCTACTTCCTCTCAGGGCTCAGGGCAAAGTCATGCCTGTGTAATGCTGTAAAGAAAAAAAGCCAAAAAGCATGCCTGTCTTCTCTTGCTTATGCTATGGAGAAATCAAAGTATTTTAATAATATTTTAAAGTGCTATGTCTGTATCCATTAAAAAACATATTGAGGTTCCCTGCCTAGTGTGCATAATATCTATGGGCACTTAATTATTGTTTTAACTGTTTCTTCTTGTTACTAACAGTTATTGTAGCTTTGCACTTAAGACTTGGTTTTTAAACTGATAACCAAGAGTGCAGTTCAGAGTTATAATCCTGTCCCTGTGAGGAGTGTGAAGCTTCCTTTAGAAGTCAGTAGGCCAGGAAAGAAAACAGAATCAAAGCTTCCATCTTTGCCGGTTCAGGGGAAGGTGCACAACATTAGAGGAGCCTCCCACAGGGCTTAAAAAAGTTACAGCTGCAGAAGTGAATGAGAAAATACAAGTGGGAAAAAATTAAAGCACCATGCAAAGGCGCGAGGGAGATGAATGCAGGAATGCTTACTATGAAAACCAGTGGCAGGCGGTGTTAGCCAGAAGGACCAGCAGATGCGCTTTTGACTGTGACCAGGGTCAGCGGCTTGTGCAGTTGTACAGGGCCCCGTGCCTCAGTGAACCTGCTCGCTCAGAAGGGCTCTGTAGCTAGTTTAGTGCTCCTGACTTGACATGTGGACATTCTTTACCTTTTTTAGCAAGGGGTCCAGAGTTTCTATTTTACACTAGACCCTATGAATTATGTGGCCGGTATGAAATCTGCACAGGTGGTGGGCAAGTTTCTTTACTGTGCTCGTGTTGTCATATATGAAGCGAGGATCACAAAATTACCTTTGCAGTAGGGTGACATTGAGGATTAAGGGGAAATAACTGAATGAGTTACGATTTGTGGTTGCCTTGGTAGCAGTCTGCATTTCTTATAGAGTATCTCAGTATTCAGACTCTGATCTCTCAACAGATTAATGATTAAGCTTTTACTTACTTGGGCTATATACATCACGATTTACTGTATTAGACAGTAAAACAAAGAAAATGTTACAATGCAAGGACCTGCAAGCACATGTTCTGCTTTTTCTGAGATTTTATCACATGCCTAGTAGCTTTGGAACACTCCACACTCAAGCCAGAATGAAAGTGAACTTGGCAGAGAACATCTCTCTACTACTACAGAAACAATTTTGACTTCTCAGATGTTTTGGAAAGGCCTTAGAGATACTTTCACTATCGGTCCTCAGATCACACTTTGAGAGCTCTTAAATGGATATAATCTAGTATGACATCCAATTGGGTGACAGATATATCTCCAGAGGGAGTTACTATTTAGACATGAACCCATTCTTCATTCCGTGAGTCAAGCGGATGATTTAGATGAAGGTCTAATCATCAAATGTTGTATACAACTATGTTAGGAAGAACCAGGCCTACGTTGCAGAGTTCTTCTATAGTAGCACAGGCTGTTTCTATAATTTAATAATAATGACAGAGATCAGCCTCTGAACAGAATAGTCTCAAACGGGTGACTGACTGTAGCAGTCTGCTCTGCTCTTGTGTTTGTCTCCAGTAGAATCTGCTACTTTAGTGAGGAATTTTCTCTCTAGATCATTGATCTAGAGACATCTTTTACCGGGCATATAGGGGAGAACCTGAAACAGGTGTTAGGCGTATGAAGACCAAATACATATCATTAAGTTTGCACCCTCCAAGGTCAGTTCTTTGCTTTACTTTAGATGCAGGCTAGTATTCTCCCTAAGCCTGGCCGCTCTTATTTTTGAAAGAGCTTAAAAACTCACTGTACATTGTTTTTATAGTTCACAGAGGAATCAGTGCAGGAAAAATAAGTGAACAGTAAATGAGACCAGAAGCAAGGCTCTCCTCTCTGGAGGTAAATACCCTTCATAGATTCTAAGACACCATTTAAAGCACAGTACCTGTTCATGCAAATACTTATATGCAGGACCCAGTATCTCCTAGGCATTGGAGACTGGAAGAATACATCACCGTTGCTGGCCTCGGGAATACGGGAGAGAGTCATATGTATGCAAGCAGTTCTATTGTGACATACATTATGGATGATATTTAGCTGGTGTGCACTGATAAGTGTGTCTGTTAATGATTTTAATAAGCATCTCTGGGGTGAGTCAGAGATGGTTCTGAAAGAGAGACTTTTGAACTGGGTGTTTCATGAAACTGGGTGTTACAGAAAATGGCATTTGGAGGAGCAAGGTGGCCTGCAGGTAATACGTATTGGAGGACCAGGATGATCGCTGAAAAAATAAACCTGAGCCAGACTGTCAAAGCAATTGAGAAGTAGAATGAAAGGATGGACAGCAGCAATGGGGAGTGAGGCCAGTTAGAGGTGGAGGTGAGGGAGACTCAAGAAGGACTCTGACGTGTTTCTGGGTGGTACAACGAAGTGGATGGAAGAGGCAGGGACATGATGGGTTGGTGATGTGGAATTCGAGGTGCTTGTAGTTTACCGGAAAGAGATGTGTGTGGAGGTAGCAAAAGTAGGTAAGATGGAAACTGCAAAGTTAAGTGGTATCACGGCATCGTTTTAGAGCCTACATCTGCTACATATGCCCTTGAGCAATGTGGAAAACATAATTTCTGTGAAATCAAGTTATTCCCCACAGATGGTAGGTGAGTGAGTTAACATATTTCAACCGTGGCTTTTAAGTTAACCTACCTATATGTCATTTGCAGATGAACTGGCTTGTTGTTCATTTGCTCTTTGCATTGTTTAGGCCACTAAATGATCTAGATTTCATTAATTCCAGAGGTGACATTCACCATGTGATATAAAAGAAATATATAAATATGGAATCAAACAGTTCTGTTTAGTGTTTCACTGGTTATTGTTGTCTTTTCCTCTTATCATGAAATATGAGATTAGCTACATTTCTTTTTGTTTGTTCTTTTTGTTTTTGGTACTGGGGATTGAACTCAGGACCCTGCACTTACAGGCAGGTGGCGGCACCACTGAGTTAAATCCCTAGCTATATTTCTGACTTTAGATTTGGAGTATGAGAGAGAGAGAGAGAGTGAGTGAGTGTGTGTGTGTGTGTGTGTGTGTGTGTGTATGTGTAAGTAATTAGAGATTCAACCCAGGACCTTCACACCGAGGTACATCTCCTCTTATTTAGTATTTTGAGACAAGGTCTTGCTAAGACACTTTAAATTGCTTGGGCTGTGCCTGAATTCATGACCTTCCTGCCCTAGTGTTTCAGAGCAATGGGATTACAGGAATGTGCCCCAGCTCATTTCTGGCTTTAGGACAAAATTCTGTGCAATACAATCATGACAGTGAAATCAGTCACAGAATGGGTGGCAATTTAGGATTTATCCTGCATTAAGCTGCCAAAACCGAGGTGGCATTTGGAAAGCTAATCTACTTTATGTCACATTATACCGTCAGGTGAATGAAATTTTGAATGTAGCGTATATCAAAGACAACTCTAAGGAATGACGTTAATCAAACTAGTGGTGAGCAGAAAATACAAGGCAGGTCTGCCTGTCATTAAAAAATGAGTAGGTCACACTAGTGAAACACTGTAATATTACTTTATCATTTAAACTGTTACAATGAGAGATTCCCCCCTTTATCCTTGCCACAGGACAGTTATTAGACATTAAAATACTGTTTTTTCAGAAACCCTTAATTACCTCTGCAACATATTGCAAGGTTTATATCTCTAATGACAAAGGAAATACTGAGATGTAGTATATTGTTTTTAATTAGGTTACTAGACCTATTTATATGCACGCTGAATCAGAGGAACAGTTTTCTTTCATCTTGCCAGCTGGAAAAAGCAAATATTTGAAGAAAGAAGGAGAACATATTTAAATATTTAAAATGAAGTCTTACTGAAATACCTGGGCCCCTTGAGGGTAGTAAATTAGTTCATCATTACTTAAAAGGATGACTCGGCGCCCTGGTGTGGCAAGTACAGAGGAAGTGAGATTTAGGTTACCTGTGTAGCTTCAAGGATAAAGTCATGGATGATAATTTGTTCTTCATTAGAGAGGCACAGTCTGTCTTTGCTGATGAGGGTGACAGTAAAAGCCTCACATATGGATTCTTCTCTACTTGGCCAATAGACAAACTCATCTTTTGCCTTTGAGAACCAAAAGAAAAATTTTCTTTTTAATTTTCTTGAAACGATTCCTTATTCTGTCATTCTCCATACCTTTCCTGTGTGTCTGTGTCTGTCTGTCTTTCTTTTTCTTTTTGAGACAGGGTCTCACTATGTAGTTGAGACTGACCTGTGAGTCTGGAACTCACTGTGTAGCCCAGCCTGGTCTGGAACTCACAGCAATCCTCCTGCCTCAGCCTCCCGAGTGCTGGCTGGGATTACAAGTGTGCACCACCACACCCGGCTCAAGTCATCTTTTAGTTTATAGAATTATATCCACATCTAGTTATGGTGAGCTCAGTGTTAATTGTATCCTATTGTAAAAATATATTTTGATAATATCCTAGCACCGGTCAATGTAAATCCCAGCAGTGGCTCTGTAGGGATGTACTGCTGCCAGTTGATAAGTGTTCTGCATAATAAGTAGCACAGTAAAAATGGAGACTAGATCTAGGTCAGTTAATTTTATTATTTCACAGTTGCTTAAGCATCTAAGACATGCTATGTATAATTTCCTACAGATTTTCTTAGTAACAGTTCTATAGTTGAATATTATTTTGCAGGGGTCCTTAATAAACCTTACCTTCCTGAATTTTTATAATACATTAGTAAGATAAAGATGATTCACAAATAAATTGTAATCTTTTAATTTCATTAGAAATCTGTCCTTTTTTCCATAATGACTGTACCAATCTACAGTCCCATTGACAGTGTGAGTACCCTTTCTCCACACTTTTGCCAAATTTGTAATTTGATTTTCCAATAATTCCCATTCTAATACAAGGTGGTAAATCAGTGATTTTGATTTGTATTTCCCAGATGATTAATAATATTGAGGATCTTTTCATATATCTGCTGGTCATTTTTAGAGACATATCTGTTTGGGTCTCTTGCTCAGTTCTTAATTTGGATTATTAATTTTTTTACTATTGAGTTGAATGCTGTATCTATACTTTGGGTTTTTTTTTTTGACACGGGGATTAAACTCGGGCCCTTGCACTTGTGAGGCAGGTGGTGGAACTACTGAGCCAAATCCCTGGGCCTATACATTTTGAATTTTAGTCCCGAAAGGGATTTTTATCATGTAATTTTATAGATGAGGACATGCTCAAGGATAAACAAAGTTGTTTAAAGTCATACTGCTAAAAAATGAAAACACAGTGTTTTTGGAAAGAGACTGCTATGAATAAGCATGTTGGCTGTAAGTACCAGGTGTTGAGACAGTTTTAAGAGAAAGTATTTCAGCTGTGAATGAGGCAAGTTTTATATGTTCACCCATTTTAAGACAAAAATTGATACTATCCCTGAAAACTACGAGTATATAACAAAAAATTAATTATTGCATAGCTTGGAAACTGTGGGAAATATGATTACAATGCTCTACACCCCTCCCCATTTTTCTAGTCAATACAGATGACAAACTCTACCTGTAGGATGTACATTTTTATAGGCATTCTCCTGAAAATGCCTATCTACTATCATTGAAGTTAGAAATAATTTGGGATAATGTTCAAAATAAAGAAAGCTTTGTTTATTTTTACATTGTTGAATTAGAAATGAGCCAACAGTCCAATAAGACTTATCACCCTTTCAAGTTTCAATATAGCTTATTGCCAAGTACAGTTTTATTTTTAAAGCTCACCATAAGGGGAAACAGATTAGCAATTGAGTTTACTCTATACAAAAGAAGTCTGTAACTCTTGTAGATTTTAATATATTTGGTTCAAAGAAATGGAAATATGGCTCTATCAACATATTCAAGATATAAAGTAACAATGGACAGAGCATCTAAATTGAACTGATAGTATGCATAGATTAATGTAGAGTTAGGATTGGAGGTAATCCTCGATGAGTTAATTCTTCTGAGCCGTAATTTCTATATTTTAAAAGTAGGAATAATAAAAGGAAACATAATACAAAGAAACATTAGGATGGTGATAATGAAAAGTGGATTAAGATACCAAACACATTTTAATTATGGTGAAAGGAAAAGCAGGAAAAATACTTATGAATACAGAAATTGAACTAGAAAATCATTGTTCCTCTTGAAAGGGGAAAAAAATTAAATGCTACTTCTTAATCCAGTGGGAATTCAGGTCTGATGGTCATTTTGCTGAGAAATGTATTTCTGTATCAAAAGCATGGAGGTACTAATAAGAGGGCTTTCTGGAGTCAGAAACCAGTGAGTTTTGGGCCTGTCTGTACAAATGTATGGTCTCGCACAGTTGTAGTCATAATACATAGTATGTTAAAAATAATCTAGAGAGACCCAATTTTTAGGAAAAATTGCAATGGTGAAACTTTTCATCTGTGAGTTGAGAGCACACACATGTATGAATCTAGCTTCTCTTCAGACCCTGGGATGACATGTTTGATGGTGGTTCCTGTATCCTCACTGTCTGTAGAATGTAATATGTACCCCCAGTCTCCCTTAGCCTTTTCTGGAGAAATGAGCTCCTTAATGGATGCTTTATGGGGGTTATCCTCTGGGCTTAGGTAACAGTAACAAAATACTGACTCATTCAACAAATGAAGGTTTTCACAACCCTAAATGTCTCCAGTGTCTGTATGCCAAAGAGAACAGACCCTGGTTGCCAGCTAATTTGAAAATTAACACTCCAGAATTTAGCTTAAGATTCTGAACTTTATTGCCATTCCATCATACAGAAGCAGCCTTGGTATTCTGAAGCTGGAGCAGAATGCCACAGAGTGAAGACGTTCCTATGGACTGGGCACACAGTCAACTATGTGTGTCACACAGACTAGGGGTTCAGTCACATGCTCTCCTGTCCTAACTAAAATACTCATTACTCTGACACTCATGGACGCAGAGTCTCCTTGTTTTTTGCTTTGGTCTCTTTGGTACTGGGGATCTAATTCAGGACCTTGTGCCTGCGAGGCAGGTGCAGTGCCACTGAGCTAAATCTCTGGCCCTGCTTTTGTTTCTGTCTTACTGACTCACGTGTCCACAGAGTAACTTTTCAAGACCTAGCAAATTCTGAAATTTAAGGATACATGCAGTTAATTCAAGCCTGTTTCATAAATATGCTCATAGGTTCCTACACATTTTAGAGACTTCAGTAGACAAGGACTGAGTCAAAGGAAAGACACAATAGTTTAGTCAAAGTCTTGCACTGGATCATAGGTTATACTCCAACCGCCTTTCCTATTCCTTGCCTTCAGTGTATCTGACTTGACTGTGGAGTAGGAAAAGAATAATGAAACATTATTACTTCTGATACAGTATTTTTTCTGAACAACACTGCTACGATGTGCAGTGGGATATTTATTGTACTATGAATAAAGGTGGGCTCCAGAGTGCAGGGAACAGGGAAAGGGGATGTTAGTAGAACTTCTGCAGCCAGTCCTAATCTCCTGCGAGCCAGGACGGCACAAGGTAAATTAAGGTATTAGACAGAAATGATAGAAAATGAGACTTGGAGAAGTTGTTGAGCTTTGGGCCTGATCAGTGCTGCTTGGGCAACAAAGACCAAAGACCCCAACCTTGCCACACCTTTAGTCTGCACATCAAGAGTTAACAAATGTAACGGGTGACTTAGAGGACAGCAGCTGTGAAAATCCTACAACAATGAGTAAACTATGCAGATGTTGACTTTGTTCCTCCCCAGGATGTCTTCAGCTGGTGTAATCTTGCCCTGGAGCATCACAGCTTCACCAGACCATTGACCAGAGGCAAAGGTGGAGTCAGATCTCCACATGACATAGCTGGCCTGTAGGCGGGAAAACTAGACTCTAACCATGACTTAAATGTGAAATGATTTTTCCCAAAAATCATGTAGAATTACTTCCTACACTGGGGACAGATGACTTTGGTTACATGCTGGCTCCAGTGGTTACTGGGTGCTCTTAGGCAAGTTCCCTCAGTTTTCTCAACTACTAAATGAGACAGTCCTAGCTCTGTGAGGTCTGACTTAACTACGTTTGTCCAAACTGACATATGACAGACAGGACATCAGTGACTTAAAAGAACCTTTTTCAAAATCTCTACCACATTGCCCAGTAAAGTACAGTTGAAGGGGAAGAATATGAACACACCAGATATTCAGGTACTAGAATGGATAGGGATGGTCCTGTACTTGTAGGAAGCGAATCTGTACAGTCTTCAAGCGTTCATCCCCTCCTGAGCCACACAAACTCTTAGCCCTGTCTCAGTGTGTCCAGGTCACTGATGTGCCTAGGCTCAAGGGCTCGTTCATACACAGCAGACGTGCTTTACTCACCAGGCTCTGGTTGTCCGGCAGCATGACGATGATCTGCGCATTGTGATCCCAAATCATTCGCCAGAAATCTTTTGTAGTGTGTGGCAGAGGATGCTGGGTTATAATAAATTCATTGCTCCTGTAATATCCCTTCAAATGGAAAGAGGAAGACTCAGCAGTTGTGGGTATTTAATTCTAACTTTGTTAGTAATAAAATACATTTATGAAACAAGACAGCATTGTTTTGACCACACTGAAATAACTGAGGAAGGCATTCAGGACATACAGCTAAGTTTTAGATGTACTCTTGCTCACAGTGTGCAGACAATTTTCTCTCGACATGCAATTCACTTCAAGTCACCCCTGCTGTTTTTACTTAACAGTAATTTCAACATTTACTCAAAGTCTAGATGGGTGAAATTAACAACAGAATTAATTCCTTAAGAAGCATCTTGCTTCATCAAGGCACTTTTATACTCCCACTCTTTGAGAATCTTTTGTTAAAAGTTTGAAAATACAGAAATCTCTATACATTATTACACTTGGGGAAATTACATTCCAAAGTAATCAGCCAAATGGGTGATATTAACACTTTCAGTTTAATTGGCTTTATTTATGATTAATGGTTGACTCTCACCATGATGTAAGAAGCATTAATGTAATCTGTTCCTTTCATTCCAGGCAAAGGTGCAAGACCCACTCGAGCTCGCTCAGCTAGCACATGGAAAAAACAACAGTACATTCACCTTATTACACAAAGGAACCAGAAGCCCTTTCCAAGACTGACTTAGTGAATAACACATGTCCCTGGCTCTCAGGCCAAAGTGCTGAAGTGTTACCAGCTAAGGGAGAGTGTTAACAGGAAATTTTGCCACGCATATCCAGGACAGAGGCAGTATAAAAATGAAATGTTACTATGGGAGAGGTTTTCATCGCAAAGCACTGAAGAGAACACTGTACAGCACTGTCAGATACGTCTGATCTGATATTCCTAGATTCAATACCAATACTTCCCCCTTTGCTGTTTTCCAACCCTTTGTCCCTATCTTTCTCCCCACGAAGTTCTTAGAAAACAGTGACCTTTCTCAGGAGTAACCTTTCTCCCCAGTGCTCACACAGGCAGTGCAAACCTGCAAGTCCTCTGCTGTGTCCTGAGTAATTTGTGCAAGAGTCACCCCCCAGTCAACAGTGGGTAGGTTTCATAGAATAATTCAGTGATGCAGTATCGGTTATACAGATTAATCCATGTAAGTCCTAAAGCAGGCTTAATGCCACACTGATGACAACTTTGGTATTATTTTTAAGTTGACATATGGCAGACCTAACCACATTCTTGCACGTTGAGGTGAACGGAAGCTAGATTTCATGTCATGTAGGCAGTGACTTGCTAGCACCAGGAGCCACCCCTTCCACTTCCCTCAAACTCCCTTAGGTGCACTAAACATAGCATTGTCCCTTTGGTAGTAGCTGCCTCTTTACATAACACAGAAAAGCTGCTTTACAACATATTAACACACTGAAGCCTGTCAGACTGATCAACACTGTACAGCACTGTCAGATACGTCTGATCTGATATTCCTAGATTCAATACCAATACTTCCCCCTTTGCTGTTTTCCAACCCTTTGTCCCTATCTTTCTCCCCACGAAGTTCTTAGAAAACAGTGACCTTTCTCAGGAGTAACCTTTCTCCCCAGTGCTCACACAGGCAGTGCAAACCCACAAGTCCTCTGCTGTGTCCTGAGTTATTTGTGCAAGAGTCACCCCCCAGTCAACAGTGGGTAGGTTTCATAGAATAATTCAGTGATGCAGTATCGGTTATACAGATTAATCCATGTAAGTCCTAAAGCAGGCTTAATGCCACACTGATGACAACTTTGGTATTATTTTTAAGTTGACATATGGCAGACCTAACCACATTCTTGCACGTTGAGGTGAACGGAAGCTAGATTTCATGTCTTGTAGGCAGTGACTTGCTAGCACCAGGAGCCACCCCTTCCACTTGCCTCAAACTCCCTTAGCTGCACTAAACATAGCATTGTCCCTTTGGTAGTAGCTGCCTCTTTACATAACACAGAAAAGCTGCTTTACAACATATTAACACACTGAAGCCTGTCAGACTGATCAAAGATCTTACATGGCACGACGGAAGAGTTTCTGTTCTTCTCTTTGTTACACTCTTTCTGGGCACTGAAGCATTCCACGTATTTCGCATTACACTGGGTCACAAGCTAAAAGAAAAGCAACATTTCAGTCTCCTTTCAAGGTCATAATTGATAGCAGCTGTCTTCACAATCTAGCACAATACCAATAATCAGATTATTACCAAACAGATACATTTTTTATGGATGCCACAGAAGGCTCTCGTGACTCAGTAGTGGTACTTGTGGTAGGGATGTGGGCTGTGTCCATGGGTGCTAGGCTCCTGGAATAGCGGTACTGGGTGTGCACTGTTGACTCAACTATGTGGATTTCTCTGTTTCAACTTCTCTTTGCCATTGTGAATTTTGTCTGTAATTCCCGAATGGCACAGAAGATGCTAGTGTGCCGCCTACATTAGAAGACTGTTTAATAGTATTAGGAGTCAGTGATGTTCCCCGAAGATAAAGAACAACCTAATAGGTTCTTAGTACTTTTCTGTTTAACTGAGATTCTTCTAAGGCAGTGGTGGCGAACCTATGGCAGGTGTGCTGCATCACTGAAAGTTCTAAAAGGTTCGCCATGATCCTTCTAAAGCCATCACGAAGGATCAGCCCAATAGTGGCATTATTTTCGTATATGTACATAGCGTGGTTGGAACACCCTGTGAATACTGTTTTTTTGTGGTGACGGGTGGGGCAGTCTATCTCAGTGCAACAATGTAGGAATAGTGTGAGCTTTACCGCTGCTGTCAGGGCCATGGAAGTAATTCTCTTCTTTGACTTTCTGATTCTTTTTTCACCTGTTTGATTTGTGAAATGTTTATTAAGAGAGTCAGTTATTTTGTTACCAAGTGGATAGATGATTTATTTAATGAATTTTTCTATGTTTAAAGTACTGTATGTATCCCTTATCTGAAATGCGTGGGATCAGCAGATTGTCATAGTCTTTGGGTGGTGGAAATATTTGCATATATGTGCAGTATAGGGGGTGGAAATCAAGTTGAGACCTGAAACTTCTGTTTCATTTATAAATAGCCTGAAGATAATCTAATACACATGTTTAATAATTTTGTGCAGGAGATAGTTTCATGGTGTGGAATATTCTGTGGCAGGATGTTGACACTGCAAGTTTGGGCATTTGGAGCTTTGGTAGTCCTTTAAATTCTTTTTTGCACATTATTTTCTATGCAAGTAACATTTCAAGATGGGAAAAAAAATGAGATTGAGTCTGTGCCATTATATTTTTCATGGTGAAATTTCCAGAGACTCTAAAAGTTTAGGTTGAATCTCTGCCACAGAAATGGAATAAAGGGCAGAATTTATGAAATGTTGGTGTGTCCTCATTGGTAGTCATTTCCAATGGTTTTATAGTAGCTAGGATGTTGTGAGAATTAGACGTTTAAAATCATTCTTAGGACTAAACTCAGTGAAATTAATCTGTTTTTCATTTCATATCCCTTGGTGTCATCTGCTTAGTTAGCAGCTCATTTCTTTGGTTGATATTCAAGTGGAGGTTTCAGAGTCTAATGGAAGCTTTACCATGAAAAGTCACACTGCACTGATTTTTCTCATGCTTTGACTCGACACAAAATGGGGACAACAATATGCAAAAAACAATAAAATTGAAAAGATAATGAAAAACTCATGAACAAGAAAGCACTTGGTAATTGCAAAGACACCATTTGAAAGTTACACTTAATTCTTTGAGCTTTCTGGTCTTCACCGCTTTACTAATCCTTACAGTATGTGTTACACCTGTCACCCCAGTTAATCCATGTGAACCTTAACTGTCTTTGAACTTCTTCATGCCCCTACCAAAGAAAAAGAGCAACTACGTTAGGAAAAGTTAACTGTCCTATACTACTGTTAGGTTTAGTAGCTTTTTGGGGGTTTTCAAATTATGTTCTGGAATAGTTTTTCAAGCAGGCGTTATTTTGAGGAAAACCTGTCTACAAAGAACCCTTTTAACGAAGGTAACATCCAGGGTTTCAGAAAAATGAGGATTGTTTTTTGGCCAGCTCTGATTCAAGTCTTGTGTCAGTGTGGCTACAGCATGTTATAAATGTTCAGCTTAAGTCATAAACTTCTCAGAAAAAGAAATAGCATTGTACTCTCTACTTGAATGTCAATAAGACTGAGTCGGGGCTGGGTGGGGTGGGGTGGCTTTGTAGTCCGTCCTTAAATGTAATGAAGGGGGAGACAAACAGTTTTCAGGCAGTACATTAATGTTATTAAGATGCCAAAGTCTAGGGCATTTTGCTGCTGTCTTGCTTTATGCGAAAGAATTTCTCAAAGCACTACCTTGAATTGTTTCTCCAGTCGAGTCTTTCCTCCTGCTCCAGGTGTAAGGATGCTGTTAACATAGCTATGCAGCTGATTTGCAGATACTTCAGTTTCATTCCCAAGAATGGCCTCCAGCAAGGCATCGTGGATGAAAATATACTGCTCCTATAAGGTACAAGAATTGGGAATCACCAGGGAGAGCTGTTGAAAGGAAGTCTACCATCTGGGACCTCCCAGTGAATTCCTACGAGCCTTAGCATTTGGAGGCTTGCCTCAACACTCACTTGCCTGTCCATCCTATCCTAATTTGTTTTAGGGTAGTGACTGTTCAGTTTCCTCTGTATTCTACATTGTGCTAGGAACGCTGTTCCTCTTGTGTGTTTCTGAGGCCAGAAAACATATCTAGTTCCCCACAGTAGCTAATACAAATGCATCTGATACATACATTCTGTGTAGTTACTGAGCAATCCAAATGCTAAGATTCAAACAGAAATGGGAAACTGATGTAAAAACAGAATCATGGTCAGGGTATCTTTTAGTCCACAACACAGCCTTTTCCTTCAAGTTCCAAGAATGAATCTGTTTCCTTAGCATCACTCACTCTTCAGGGAAGGTGTGTGCTGGCAGCTCACGAGGGCTAGTCCTTACCTCTGTCTGGACGAGGTAGTTGCGCTGTGTCCTGATATGCTTCAGGAATCCCAGGACGTTAACTGTGCTTTTGTCTTTTATCTGTTGTAGCATGCTGTCTATTACAATGTAAGTGCCTGTCCTGCCCACACCAGCACTGTAAGAAATAAAGGCACTCAGCTAGTACTGTTAAACCATGGACTGCAAAAATGACAATGTAAATGCATAAGGAACCGAGAAGTAACTGTGATGTCTAGGAAACCTACTATAAGTGGCATAGAATATTCACACAGATGAGCTTCATTAGGTAATTTCCACTTCGTGAGTTTGGTAAGGAGCCCAGAGTGCTTTAATGCTGTCTCCTTGACTTCTCAGCCTCCTTGGCATGCAACCCATGATCCAGGGCTCTAGAGGTATCTGTGGCAGCAGCCATCCCCACACCCGAACCAGGCCTCCTTACTGTTCAGCATCGTGCTTGGTTTCTCACCAAACCCCTACTGTTCGTTCATTCTGCTGTTGCATGCAGCTAAGAAACTTGTTTTCAATGTTAGCGGTATTTTACTTTCGTAAACCTGGTACAACAGTGGTACATCTAGAACATCTGGCTTCTTATTCCATATTGTTATTTTAAAAAATACCCAAATGAATCTCAGTTCTGTAGTACTGATTAAGAAGTGTGTTTCGGCAGAATGCCCCAGAAGCTTCTCCCTCTAGCCCAAGACCCAGGCTGCATGATTGACCTGTGTCCACCTCAGTGCTTGTTAAATGTAGAGGTGAAAAAGTGGAATTCTTATGGGATTCTAAGTAAAAGATGTGTTCCACGTTCTGTAAAGTCTTGTTTGGGAAAGCATATTAGACCAAAAGGCCAAAAGAAATGCTCACAAAAATGCTATGTAGTACTAGCAACATCAGCTAGAGAATAATAAGAGCACTTTTAAACAATCATGTACAGTTTTTAGTTAGTTGAGGGGAAATAGGCTTTATATATGGCTTTTCCAATGCTTTTTAAAAAAGCCTTTTATATGGTCTGTATAAGCTATAAATTAAAAAATTCCTTTTGTATGTACTATCAATTATTGTAATTTGGAGAAGCAGTTCAAAAAGCCATTCCCCAAAACTCAGAATCTGTCGTGTTGAAAACTCTTATACATACGTTATGTTTATTCATTAGGATCAGCCTATGCATTATATAGCATTCACTTCCCATTCTTATTGGATAGCAGAAGCTTGCTAGTATTCTTTGAAAGTTTTTTTGGGAAACAATGCTTTAAAACTGTCAGGAGGGCTGTGGATTTGGCTCTGTGGTTCTTCTGCCTGCCTCACAAGCGCAAGGGCCCTAGGTTTGATCCCCAGTACAAAAAAAAAAAAAAAAACGGAAAATAAGTAAAAAAAAAAGAACCGATGATGCTGTATTTGCTGAGTGGATGAAAGGATGATGATGTTGTTGTTGTTAAGGAAGTGAGGACTTGCATGAAGTGGTGAGAGAACTCGGGCTAATTCAATTCTATTATGTGCTCTGGCCATACATACCTTTCACACCATGCACTGTGAGCAGTGAAGAGAGGTGCGAACGCATGATATTTAGCCTTCATCTTATACAGATTTTCTTACGTGTATAAAGGAGATGCCCCAGCAGCCCACCCAGCTCCCTCAGTACCTTCTTCACTTTTGTATTTCTGATTGAAAAACGACGAACAGTATAGCAGGCATGTACTTTTGTGCTCTTCAGCGTAACAATAATGTTTCCATATTCCTCACTATTCTCTGTTGGCCAATACTGATCACATTTTCGCTGTAAAAAGAAAAGTTATAAAGTATGAATAATGTTCAAGTGGAAGAAGGTCACTTGACTGCAGAAATAATGCATGGGCAGGTGTGAACTCTGAAGGACATCATGGTGGGGGGAGTATGGGCAAGGTCCTCTGAGAAATGGGCCTCATGTTTTAAGATGTTTCAGTTATATGGTGTACTTGAAAGAAACCTGTATGAAAGGTGAGGGGTGTGTGGGTGTGTGTGTGTGTGTGTGTGTGTGTGTGTGTGTGTGTGTGTGCATGCATGCAGTTTAAATATCACTTGAAAGGCCTGGCTGTATTTCTGAAGGTCTCCTGTAACTTGGAATCTCCATATTACAACTTGGTTCACAAAGGAAAAGTAAGGATTTCACATTTCACCATCAGCCCAAGCAATTGGACAACAGAAAGAAATAAAAGGAATAATGATAGCAAAAGAAGTTAAAAAATTTTCCTGATGGTATGATGCTCTACATAGAAGACCCTAATAACACTTTCAAAGGACTTCTAGACTTAATTGAGAGATTCCGTAGAGCAGCTGGATACCAGAATTAAAAAAAAAAAAATCTATAGCCTTCTTGTACACAGATAACGGAGAAATCAGGGAAACAGTTCCTTCACAATAGCATCAAAAAAAGAGAAAAATCTAAGGCGGCAAAAGACCTCTATATTGAAATCTACAGCACTCTGAAAAAAAGAGTTGAAGAGGATATAAAAAAAATGGAAAGACATCTCCTGTTCCTGGGTAGTAAGAACCAATATAGTGAAAATGGCCATACTTCCAAATCTGCTATATAGATCCATTGCAATCCCAATTGAATCCAACAGTATATTTCACAGAACTAGAGAAAGTAATCCAAAAATTCATTTGGAACCAGAAGAGACCTAGAATAGCAAAAGCAATTCTAGGCAACAGGGACATGGCAGGGGTTTTCCGATCCCTGACTTGAAATTATACTACAAAGCCACTGTGAAAGAAACATCATGGTACTGGCAAAGGACTCCTATTTCCAGTAAAGCAGTAGAGTTTTTGAGCAATGAAGGTGAGTGTTAGCCATTATTCTAGCCTAAACAAACATCATCTAAGATCAAGTCCAATACATCGTAAAGCATGAGCCATTTTTTTCCCACAAAGATCTTAATCGTGGCTACTCCTATACTACTTTGAATGATTTATTTTTCTGTGCATCTCCAAATTTTTAAATCTTTTCTTATTTGTTTTCTAAATGTAGAATGTCCTTCTCTCCTTTTTCCTGCCTAACTTCTTGTTCATGTCCTACCTCAAAACATTGGTTTCTTTAATACCCTCTTGATGAGAGTCAGGCACATCTCTTTCATTACATTTAATTCACACTAGTAATGCTGTAGCTCCCTTCCTAGCAGACCACAACCAAAATAAGAGGAGACTCATTTCTGTAAGTCTTTATACTGGTTCAAATTCAACAGCAAGTACTCTTTTATTTTGTGAATGAAGGTGGATTACTGTGATAGAAAACTAAGAGGTTCTTAGTCTTTCTTTTTCCACCAAGATTGCAATCATGATAATGATTCCATGTTTGTTCCCAAATCATTGTCCAGAAATCTTCACATGTACACTTTAAAGGTCCCTGGGTAGCGATGTAGGATTTCACTTTGTTGTATCTCTTCAAAGATGACACAGCACAAAGTGAGTTGAATGCATTTATCACTAAAGACCAGTTAATAACTCAAGAATCTTCCACACTGAATAGGCTGGATTTTTAGCGAAAGCTCTGTGTGGTATTAAAATACATTCAGTAGTTTCCACTGCAAGTTTCCATTTTCAACTATAGAAATGATCCCTGAAAGTATAGCCTTTGCAAGTTTCCATTTTCAGCAACAGGTTTATAAAAAGATTTCTGACTTACATCAACATAGTTTGCATTAATATAGTCAATGTACTTAGAGTGTTTTCCTGGTAAAGGACTTAACTTCACCTTGTTATGATCATGTATAAAAGTAAAAAGAAGGCAAAACAAAAATGTGTTATTAAAAAAAGTAGCCGCGCTGGGTGTGGTGGCGCATGCCTGTAATCCCAGCACTTGGGAGGCTGAGGCAGGAGGATCGCTGTGAGTTCAAGACCAGCCCGGGCTACATAGTGAGTTCCAGTCAGTCTCAACTACATAGTGAAACCCTGTCTCAAAAAAACCAAAAAAAAAAGGGCCGGTGATTTAGCTCAGCGGTTTGGTGGCCTGCCTTGTAAGCGCAAGGACCTGAGTTCAATCCCTGGTACCAAAAAAAAAAAAAAAAGTAGCCTTCTAAACATAAAACAAGGCAGTCATGTAATGTGGCCTTTTCTAGAAGGACTTGGAAAAACTTTTTGCAGAAGAAGTACTGCATTCTAATCCATCTGAAAAACATGGGGCCACTTCTGCCTCATGCAATCACCTGGAGGAATCCAAGAAATGCAAATTTAAGGTCTTTATTAGTCACTGTAAAACTACTGTAAATTGTAATGCTACAGAATCTCATTGTTCTCATTTTTGAAACCATGTTCAAAGGCCTTCAGTTACCCAGGCCTCCCCTCCACTTCCCATTAAGATAAATATAAAAGACAAGTATTATTTCAGGTCTAGAATGTCTTTCTTTAGGTGGTTCCACTGCTAAATTCAGATAGACACCCTGCCACTTCCACAAAATATATGCAACTGAAGGAAGCAGAACTTCATTTCTTAGAAATCTCATTGCAGGAATCTAAAGTCAATGGCCAGGTTTTAAGATTGACTTTTCCAGGTTTTAAGATTCTGTTTAGGAACAGAATGAGAGATAGAGCATCATTTGTTTAACAGAGTGAGCCTGGATTTTTAGGACAAGAAGAATAATAAAAGGAAGCACAGCTTTTACTTTCATTTTTCCTAGCTAGGAACAGAATGGGCAAAGGCCAATACGTATTTATTTAGTCATTATCATAGAAGGAAAGTTCAAAAAGAAGTCAATTTGAAGAGATTGGCCTAGGCACTGCTGACCTCAAGAAGTCAGCACTTTTAGAAAGCCACCTGTGTTCTTAGAATTGTGAGTTGCTGACTTTTGTTCTGAGAAACATCAAGAGTTGACATGAAATGAGCTGCCTGTTAAAAATGAAAATTTTGTAATAGGCTCCAAATGAAAAATTTCTTCTAAGGCATCTGAATATGCCTTAGTAGCCATGATACTGTATACTGTTATTTCTTAGACTGACAAGAATACAAACGCCCGGGTTGTAAAATTAGTATTGAACTAAAAGTAACAGATGGGTTAACATCAGTGTTGGAGGGGGTTTGGTGACATCCATGTATGCCCTGAAAGTTGTGTTGGCCATCATGTTTCTGGCACATCTATGGTCTGATGTTACTTGTTTCCTTGACATTTTTATACTATTCTTTGCTACATAAAAGCATTAGTATAATAGGGGGAAAATGAAGTGACAAGTGGTCAAAACATCCCTAATCTGAAATCTTTTTTTTTTTTTGGTTACCTGGGATTAAACTCGGGTCCTTGTGCTTGCAAGGCAGGCCACCGAACCGCTGAGCTAAATCCCCACCCCTCCAATCTGAAATCTTGAAATGCTCCAAAATAGGAAACTTTTTGAGCAGCACGTCAGTTCTCAGGAAGTTTCACATTTCCATGTTGCATATAGACACAAACCTGACATGTCAATACAGAGGCCTTGAAACCACACAAGTAGTCTGTGTTCCTAGGATATTCCTTCGGGTTCTAATTGAAGACTGAGTCTGGAACCTCTAAGTGCTCCTGACCTTTAAAATACATTGGATAGGGGTAAAGATTAGGACCAAAAGGAAAGCTCAATTAGTCTTAGAAAGAGTGCTTCAAAAGCTGGGTATGATAGTGCACATTTGAGGCTAAGACAGGAAGTTGAGGCCCAACCTAGGCAACTTAGCAAGACCCTGTCTCAAAAATTTTAAAATGTAGCTCAGAATGAAGGCCCTGGGTTCAGTTCCCATTATTAGCTGGAAAAAAAAAACTGCTTACTTGATTCAATTTTTAAAATTTCTATTTCTACTACAAAGATGCGACTGACTGGTTAAAAAAAAAATGTCAAGATATCCAAGCGGTATTTCAACTTTCCTTCCAAAACTTGGTATCACCTCATGTGGAAACATTGCAGCTCAGAACATTTCTCACAGCCACCTTATTAAGCTCTCTCCCATCTCACAGCTTAATGAAAGACCAAGAAGACAGAAAATGCCCCCTGTTCTTCTATGCTGTTGGAGATAGGCCAGTGAGAGGTTAGCTTGCAAGAACCATTCTTTAGCATTCTGATTTCCATTTCTTGACTTTCAGCTTATATCCAAGCAAGAGGAATTAATTTCCTCAGAGTTGAAGACAGTTTTAGGATTATTACTCACATGCTAAAATGTTGATGTATCTGTTTTTGTGCTTGTTATCTGGATGATTGGAATGTTCCGCAGTGATGTTCATATCAGCTGTACAGCGCTGGACTTCCTAGTGACTAACAAACAGCAAGACTTCAGACTCTTTAGAAAAAAAGGAACTACAGTTACAAACTGCATAGCAATGTTCTGGTCAACAGACCACGTATCAGACAGTGGTCCAATAACGCTGTACTGTAGCTGCACAATTCCTACTGCCTGGCATTGTCAATGCCCTGCTAACATCTGAGTGCAACACATACTCACGTTTGTGTAATGGTGTAGAAATAAATGTAGTGTTGTCAGTCGTGTAAAGTATAGCACATACAGCTATGCTCAGCACATAATAAGTTGATGATAATCAAAGGTGTCTTACCTACTTTTGCATTTACTGTGCTATTTTTCAGTCATGCTTTAGAGGTACTCCTGCTTATAAAAAAAGTTTACTGTAGACCAGTATGCCATTTCATAGTGGTAGCAGCTGCATAGTACCCTTATATTTTGTGTGTCTTTTGATTGAATCAAGAGGCTATGTTGAACTGTACCAACTAGATCTCTGCTGTGTACTCTATGGTGTTTATTAAGTAAGGAAATACCCTGATGCAGGTCTCAGAACTTGTCCTTTTCTGATATATGTAAAATATCCATCCAAGAGAAAGTAGTCACTTTCTAGCATTGAAGTTGCCATTATAGCCTCCAAACTCAACCTCAGATCTGATTGCCAGAATCATAACAAAAAAATTGAGCAAATGAAAAGGTATACTGATTTTCTTTTTACTAATTCATCAGTCATCAACTTTATGCCAGATTTTGATCTAGGCATTCTGATACAAAAGAGTATCTCTTGTTGAATAAATTACAGTTTACAAGAAAAAAAGGTACTGTCAAGTGGCATGAATAGAGAAGCCTAAAGAAATGATAGGAATGAAGATGAACAGAGAAAACTTAAAATAAGAGATGCCAGTTCAACTGACTCTTACAGAATGAACAGGAATTTCCAACAAGTACATCATCCATGATTTGCCATATGTCTGTAGGCCTAAAAGCCTCTTTTTATAACCAAGACACTGATAATTGACTTTAAAGTTAGTCCTGAAATGACACTAATATATGGCCCAGATAACTGTCATGTTTGGTTCAGATACTTGTGGCCCGAACAGATTACCTGTGAACTCTAGTTTTAAATAAACTTCATTTAGAAAAATAGCAGTGGCAGGAAAATGATACTAAAACATGTATCATCCATTAGCCAAATGCAAGACTGCTGAAAAGACAAATTTTTCTACAGTGTATAATTCAAACCCAAGAAAGTACTGGAGCTAGCTAATAAGAGAAGTCATTAGCAGTGCACAGCTGCTGCAAAGAGCAGGAGAAAAGTAACACAAAAAGGAGAAATATTTTTCACATAGCAGATGTAACAGAGTTTAGGAGAATGCAGGCTTTTTTCACAAAGGAGTTGCACAGCAATTATGAATGTTTTTCACAGCATTTACATTAAGCATAATGAAAACAAAAAACTGATTTGTGTACATTCAGAAAGTACTTTCCAGTGAGGAGACCCCCTCTTTGCAAGGAGGAATGATGTAATCAAAGAAATTAAGGTACAAAAACAAAGAGTTGCTATCTATTCAAAGGAAACATAATCTTAGACTATCGAATTATTGGAAACTATATACATTGAATTTTTCATAACTTCAGGCCTTCCCATCTGTCCATTAAAAAAAAAATCCCATAGGCATTACCTTAATCAACCTCACTGGGAAAAAGTATATTTCATGATGCTTACTTCTTTCTTATGTGATGAACTCTGCTATCTTTTATGAAATAGTTGAAAACCTATGATTTCACAAATGCTACTTTAAAGAATCTTAAGGCGCCTTTGGCTCTCTAAAATGAAAAAAGTGTGGACAAAAAGTAATGAGTCTGATGTGTTAACATCTCCAAGCCAGGCTGAGTACATTTCAGAATATTGGACCTTTTGAAATTGCCTTAAAAGCCCCAGGGGTGTTGTTCTTTTTTAAATTGAGTCAAAAGGCAGGAAAACATTTCAAAATGGATTTGCATTCTGAAAGATATTAATTCATTCTGCATTCAAGACCTAAAAACAAGCTGCCGTTCTTTGGTGTCTGGCTTTTGAAAATCGTACCTTTGGCACATACCTCTTCAGGGCGGGGTTGTTGAGGTGTCCACAGAGATTTTAGTTTCTGGTGTTCTAGTCAGAGATTCATTTTGGTTACTGATTTTCCCCCCCTGTTGTGTGGTTCTGACCACCCTAGCTAGGAAGAGAAGCTGGCCCTCTATTATAATATAATGCAGCTGAGCAGGACTGGATGGGAGCAGCTGTCTGCCCTGTTTAAAGCGGTGACTCACTATGGCCAGTCAGACTCTTCAGTTATCTGAAACCCGTGCTCTGGTCTTTTCCCTCCATTTCACCTTTTCCATTACATGAATGACAGAAAACAAAGGACAGTCACAACTAATGTTAAATCTTATTTTATTTAGAACTCGTAGGGTTTGCCTTCTGATTGTGTTGTGGATAATAATGTCACCTGTAATTCCTTGCAGTACTGCTTGGCTCATTTAGATGCTGATAATATCTGATCCTGGAGTGGCCTTTCTCCTTCAGAACTGGCATTTCAAAGTCAATGTGATTTTAATATATGTTAAAACCCTTTAAAGTTATACTGGCCCTGACAGAGTGTGTACAGTAAGTTACCTATTCAGCACTCTGATAAATAGTTCAAGGTTAAGCTTATACTTAATCTTTACTGTTTATGTAACAAACCTTGAATCCTCAAAATGAATTCGAGATATTAACAGTCATGTAGCCACAGGAGCAGAGCAGTGGAAACAGAAGTTTTACAACAAAGATTAAAAAGGACAAATAAAAACTAGTATTTGATATAGCCAAAATTCTTGAAAGATGAAAGCGAGTCACCTCAGCTGGAGTCACTGATGTGAGAGGGTATCTGAAGGGCACATGAAGACCGCTGTCCTTGAAGACCTTCTATCCTACCATTCTGTGATCCCATTCAAAAAACGAAACAGCTCAACAAAAGCATTATCTAGAAATCTTTCAGATTAGTCAGCAAAGCGAGTGGAAAGGATACCCTGGACCTGGCGACCAGTAGTAGATCAACTATTCCCACCGTTCAGGCAGCCTACCCCTGCGTTAAGGGGACCGCCTTACTCAAGACTGCTACGGTTAGGTCACGACCGGCCAGTGCTTGTGGAGTATCTGACACACACCTGGTCCTCATACCTCATAGAGTCTCGTCAGGTCAGAAAATGCCGCCAACAGGACTTTTGTTAGTCTCTTACTCCAGAGCTTCCACACAGATTCTGGATTCCTTCACCAAGCCTTTCAAGGCCTTACTCCATCTTCTGTGCACATCCTTTCCAATCTCAGTTTTCGCTCCGTGCCTCTGGAAGGACTGCAGGATTTATGCTCCTTGCTTTACTGTCTTTCACTGTGTTGTGAATGCCTCTTGCTCTCTTCCCCATCCAGCTCCATCCGGCTGTACCTACAGCAACTGCCTGTGCCCTTCAGAAAAGCAGTCCATCTTTGGGGAGTCCAGTGTAGCACCCATTATGTTGCAGCTTGTTTGTAATGTAAGATTACTTTTCATGAAGGTGTAACATTTAGCTCACTTACTTCCTCCAACCCTTTATAAAAGCCTCAACTTCAATAGGTATAATTTTCTCCACGATAAGGATTTAAAATGTTTTTTAAGATGTTCGAGACTGAGCTGGGATTGTGACACAGAGGATCGGGAAATGCTGTGGGTCGATCTCTGCCTCCTACAAGCAGCAGTATTTGGGCAGCAATATATCTCAGTCCAGAGACTTCCCTGAGATGTGCCATCAGCAGCCCATAAAATCTGCATTAATTAAACATAGTGATTGGGGCCACTGTTCCCTCAGAGCATGGGCTCAGGTGGACAGAGCTTTTTTTTATTGATTTAAGATGAATAACCAGCACAGATCTAGCTCAGCTGGTTAACTTTAATAGGGGGATGTAGTCAAGGGGATATGAATCTCTGGCCTTATACCTGCACCCCACTGTTAGACTTCTGATTGTTTTAATACCTGCTTCTTCGTTTTGATGGTGTATGGAGCTTTGGAGGTCTCTCCTTTTGAAAGAGCCAGTTTAGCAATGCTTCTTGGGAAGCCTTTTGCTTATACCTGTGAGCTGGGTGAGAAGCCGCTATCCTGTTAAAAACACTCTGGTAAGCAGTTTTCTAGGAAGGTCAGTGATGATGCAATCAGCTCAGGTAGCCAAGTGAATGGAGCCACCAGCACTATCCAGAGACAAAGACGGATATTTCCAGTGGCTGTAATGTCATTTCAAGCTATGATGTGACCAGATTTTCCCATACTCCATGTACCTGACAAGGGTAAAATGCTGGTTCAGCATCATCTCCAGAGAAATAGTACTCCTAATGAGTTCTTCTCATCTTTCTCCAAGCAGCAGAATCCTAAAAACATGACAGCTCTTCCCCACAATTTTTACTTCTGGGATTCTTAAATCAGATGGAGCAAATAGAACCCTGACTGAAATAATCCAATCAGAGTTCCCGGGTGTCTTTCTCCACGGAACTTTATAGAGTTACACTTGCTTTATACCACTTCCTTTGTTTTTTATACGTTAGTTGTGCACCCTCTGCTCTTACCCACCGAGCTAGATGGAAATCTCCAGGGCAAAGACTTGAATTTATCCTGGAAGGTGTGTCCAGAAAGTAGACTGCTAGGTAGTTGATAGGTGAATTATGGCCTCTTAATGGCTAATAATCCATTATTAAATGGTATTTCGCTTTACCTCTTTCTATGAGTACTTGACTAACTCCAGGCTGCTAGTCAGATGTTGGGGAGGATTTCTGTATGCCAGAATCTGAGCTAGCTGAGAAGGCTCTAAATGACTGATGACAACTCTTTTAGTTCTCAATGATTCCAGTAGCCCAGTGAGGCACACATGCATAGCTTTGTGACCACTGCTCTAGACCAGCCATAAAGGTCTTCCAATGTATACGTTACAAAGAGCTACTTTAGTTGTAGGGAACCACAGTAGTATTCCCAAAGCAGGCTGTAAGCAGTTACCCCACAATTGGCTTGTTTGTAAAAGTGACCCTAGCTAAAGTCTATGTGTTCAGGTCAGAGTAACTCTCACCCACATTCCATTCCCACAACTAAAAACTTAACTATAAGGACAGTGTTGTGAATGCAACCATACATACATGCCCTCCAAGGTAGCTTGCTCTTACCCCTCTTAAAAATGAGTGGATTGAACAGACCAGTGCCTTGGCTAATTAAGCAGCATTGGTCATCCCGGCTCCTGAGATTTTCTGTCTTAGTCCCCCCACTCCCGAAGATTGTGCCATAGCACCAATAGAAGATCAGAACCTACAGCAAAGGCCTCTTAACATTTAAGTAGAGTCTGATACTGACCAAGTCGGTTTGAGTAAGATAGCACTGCTTTAAAACCCTACTGCTGCCATCTCAAAGCGTGGCCCTGGACACCTCAGTTTTCTCCTGCATAAAGCCTCCTCACCTAAAATGGCAACAGCAATTAGTACCCATGGCGGGGGGATTCAGAGGAACGAGTGACACATTTCATGCACAGTGCCAAGTGAAGGCAGGCTGTCATCATCTCACAAATGCATATGAGGGTGACGTTACTGTTTTTCCTCGGTGTAGGGTTTAATTTTTGTACTTTGATCATTACACATGATTTTCTTCTGGTATTTCTGATATAGCCTATTACTATCTCTGAGCCTTAATAGTGTTGTTTCTGGCTGTTACCACTTTTCCATTTTAGCAGAGTTCCCAATAAAGAATGTCTGTTTTTAGAATACTTCAAGGTTTTGGTAAATTAGAAGGTGACAATATAATGGTGAGCTTTTCACTGTCTTATCCTCCCTTTTATATTGCTGTTTTACTTTTCAAAAGAAAGGCTATTCTTCGTGTTCTGAATAGCTTCATTATTAAATTTTCCAACTCAGGAAAGACTAAGATGGCAAAAGAACAACGTCTCCTTCCTATTCACCGTCCCCACACCACTCCCGTAATTATCTGCTAATAATACTGAGCTGTAACGTTTGGAGGAGGTGACTAAAGCTTTTAACCAGAGTATTTATTTGAAGGATAGACATAGGCCATAGATGCCCAGGATTTGTTCACCAGCTTGTTTTTCATGCAGCAAAGCCTATTTTAAGACTGATCAAGTTTACAGAGGTGTAGCTGATTACTTTGAATAATTAAATGGTGTCAAAACCAGCTGTGATGAATAGCACTGGGGTCTCGAATCATAAATAATTGAGAAACCAGAGTTGCATTTGATCATCCTGATCAAACTCTGCTCTCTAGAGGATACATGTTTGCCCTGAATACCACCAACATTGTTAAATGTCTCAGTATTCTTGCTCAGTCATCCAGCCAGCAGTCAATTGAACTAAATCACTCTAACACCACACACATTTGCTGTCCTCATGAATACAAAATGCTTGACTTAAACCAGGTCCTTTGTAGTTGCATAGGCACCTTTTTTGGGTTGGCACCCGACAGCAGCATTCAATACTTGACATGATTTTGTTCCATGAAACATGGGACTTTGCAGAATAAATCAGGATCCTTTTCCCTTCTCTCTACCAACTTTCCTAATGTTCTCCTCAAAAACAACAGAACTAAGAGAAAGAATTTAAAATGAGTTGTCAGTATAACTGCCTTTCTGATAGCCTTTGGGGATTCCCAGTTTGCAGGGAGAGCGGGGATTGGATCCTACTTTTATTTCTCATTGTTCCTGCAGGGTAAACTTTCCTAATGTTCTCCTCAAAAACAACAGAACTAAGAGAAAGAATTTAAAATGAGTTGTCAGTATAACTGCCTTTCTGATAGCCTTTGGGGATTCCCAGTTTGCAGGGAGAGCGGGGATTGGATCCTACTTTTATTTCTCATTGTTCCTGCAGGGTAATTGCACCTCCCAGCTGAATGGCTCCTCCATGATCCCCAAGGGCTTCATAGCTTCATTTGAGTCCCACAACCAATTGTGTGAGAAGAGGTAGGCAGGTTAGCATCCACGTTTTCTATTTTAAAGTAGCAATGAGACAGAGAAAACAACCGATTTACCCACACAGCTAGAAGACAGCTGAGCTGCCATGAAAACTTGGCCTCCTCGGCACAACTCTTGCTGCCAGAGCTGTGCCTTAGTTAAGCGCCTCAGTGAAGAAAAGGGCAGTCTGTTTAATAGCTCCTCTTTGACACCCTGTCACTGCTGAACTGGCACGGGACCCAGAGTTGGCAGGGTGGTGCATGCCACACTCTACCTTGTTTCCTACACACCAGCTTTTAAAATCAGAAGGCAGCGTTAACCCATGTTGTCCCTCCGAGGATCAGTAATCCTTAAAAGGTATCAATGATTTGTGTTCTTTCTTAAAACTTCACCCAGCACTTTCCGGTATCTTTATCACTTATTTTTATAACAACGTTAGGGAGTGTCTAACATTGACGCCATCTTAAAAAATGTGGAAATGGAAGAGGATGAGAGATGAAATGATTGAACCTGAGACCATGCAGGTCCTACTGGCAGTGCCAGCACCCGGTTCCTCAGATGCCAGACCAGCTGTCCCGCACCCCAATGCGTGCAGCTCAGAAATCACAAGGGGCTAGAGAGCTCTGCGTTCTGACTGCTGATCCCACGTAGTAGACAAAGAAGAAAGGACTTGAACATCTCTTTTCATCCATCAGCCTTTTCTCTACTACGAATTCTGTTCTGTCATACAAATACACTACTGGGACAATTGCAACCAACCCTCTTTCACATGATTTTGCTCCGAAGACAATATTTATAAAAATTCACAAGTGAAAAGTAAAGCAATCTCAATTTACACCATTATTGATATTCACTTAGAATACGTGAGTTTACAAATATTCCTGTGATGGCACAGTTTGTTTTCTAGGACTTCATTTCTATCTTTGAAACATACCTCAAAATCCTCGGAGAACCCATGCTGATTATTAGAATATAGCTCACCGATGTGTTTAACAAACTGTTTGACAGGAATGGCTTCCATGTCATCTGAGGGAATAAAATGATGTTTAGTGTCACACAGAATACTTCCAAAAAGCAAATGACGAAAGTAAAGCAAATCTTACTTACTCAAGACAAGTATTTGATTTTTTAAAAGAGCAATGTAATTGTGTCACCTGAAATAGATGTCCTAAAGAAAGGTGTTAAGATTTTACATTAGGATGTCATGAGGACCTTGAATGACAAAGTCACATGAAAAATCAGGGAGTTTTAAACACAGGTATGCAGAGAGTTTCTCTTTCTATATTCACACCAATTTACACATTTAAATTACTACATCACACACTTAACTAAAAGTAAATTTACTAATGGTACCTATGTTCCATGAAATGTTCTCGCCACTTTATTTCTTTAATTGCTCTTCGGTGGGTTTCAACTTAAACTTGGAGCAAATAAGTTTTACTTTCAATCATTGATGTCTCCACAGTCACTTGTACATAGATGCCCGTGTTTGCTCAGGCTACAATGCCATTTATCTTTGAGTATTCAAAATTTTACTTCAAGACAGCTGTGTCCACATGATGCCAAATCATCAGTTTGACTGAATTAACCTGGAGGTCTTGGCACTGACAGACTAGGTATAGATGTATGAGGAGTCCACGTTCCAATTTACTGTAGCAGTGTCACTTCAAAAGGCCATTTCCAGCTCAGGATGCTGAAGTTTGTGGGAGGCTGTACGGTGGAGCCCAGCCTAATCCGGGAGCACTGCTGTCGAACAGCTACAGCCACCTCACTGGAGTGTCCCAACCTGGACTCCTTTTCACTTAACCATCCCTGCAAATATTTCTTTTTAAAAATGCTCTGCTGAATTTGAGATAAACAACAGACATGACATTTACTTTATTCAGAGTGAAAGATCTTTGGCAAACGCACAAACATCTAAACTGCCACAGATGCTTTTCTTAGCAAAGGGTATGAAGATCTGTATGTGTAAATGAGGTCCTACTTTGGCAAGAATTTTATAGATTCAGGCCTGACAATCTGATTTCTCTTCATCTGCTGACAGTTAACATTGTCTATGTCATTCCTTCTCTACTTTCTTTGTAGAGAGCAAAAGCTCTAGGGTGACTTTTTTGCATCTGTTGACATTAGCATCTCCTACAAAAGACAGGTGATTTATATGTTCATAATCCAAGTTGCTTAGTACAGGAATACTTACTATGAAGGTTGCTTTATAAGCACAGATTTGTTCTACATGAACAATTCAAGTTCTAATAACTTTAAGAGGAAATCTTATGAAAAAATTGCCAAGTTATTTACACATATTTCAGCATTGAAAATGTTCATGCTTTTTGGAATCATTTTGTACGCCCAGGAAATCTACATCTCTCATGATGTAACCAGCATTAAACTAAGCAGAGCCAAAATATTTTCCCCAGAATATTTGGCTGAATGCACAGGTCAAGAAAAATTTCCAAATTTATCTGATCAGTTCACTTAAAATGTTTAGCAG